CTAAAGTGAAAATTCTGAAAATTATCGAAAGTCAGACATGGTAAAAATGAAGGGTCCTGGTTTCGGCATTTATCTCAGCGCTCGTCGAAACACTCACAACGGCAACAGTATGCTGGAAAGAGGAAGAAATTCTCCATCGAACACTGTTTGAAAGAATTGTTTATCTTCATTTTGAAGGATTTTAGCACAGGTCTAAAAAAAGTCACGAACTTCGAACCCACCTAATATTATAATTCCAATTATTTGATGTTTATTCCAAAAATGTAAGGCAAAGCCATGCAATGTTCATGAATTAAGAGGCGTTTATAAAAGCAGTGAGCTGCAAATATAAAATTTTAAGCGCTATAACTTACAGCGGACTTGGTCTTTTCTTATACTGATCATCAACTCTCAATTAAGTTCTAGAAAGTTCCGGGTTGAGTTTTGGGATTAAAAACCTTCTCATTTCAGAGGTTTTGATGCAGATAACTTGCTGCACCTCCCGGAATGCTGGAAAAGTTATTGAAAGCAAACATGGCAAATTTATTATTTTTGAAATGACAGCGGTGAAGTGGTGGTGCCATGCCTTATCATGCCATCAGCCCACTGCATTTTTTTGACTTTATCCATCAGCTCATAAAAGAGCATGGCTTAGAAATTGAATTTAAGAGAGAAAAGTTATCTTGACAATTGCCGTTCGCAGTCAATTAAGTCTTGTAAGATGTGGCAGGATAAAAGTCCAAAGAGCAAAAAATATGCTACATGATATGCGTCTGCTCAAAATGTCAATCTCTATGAAATATAAAAAATGAGTAGAGCAAAACGCTCTTACTCTAGTCAACCTAGTGAATTCATCTAATTTACGTCACTGGTAAAGCAATATGTTAAGACATTGACGATTACGTAAATTTTTCATTGCCCGCTTTTTGGGACCAAGGCCTTTTACAGATCAATCGACTATTCACATGTGAAATCACGCATACTGACATCTACAGTAAACCTACAGTACCTCTGAGAGGCTGACAATGAAGATAAGGCTTTTTTAAAATTCAAACTATGTGTGTCAAGCGGTCCCACGCGGTAATCATTGCTTGACACACCATGTGTGTCAAGCGTTCGTCAATAACTGGTATTAGTCTGATGTTATTTTCGGGATAACAAGAAAAAAGACTTGTATCTTTGGTATTGTTCTAACTTTTCCCATTCGTAACGAAGATACAGAATAGATCCTAGCAAATTTGACATTTTACTTGGTACTTACCCGAGATCTCTCCGAGGTAATGACCGGTACATCTAGTGATTTTCTTGACATTGCAAGAAAATTGAAATATCGTTGTAGATTTTTAAACAGATGAAATAAAATGTTCTTTTAGCCAAGTAAACAAGTGCAAACAACTATATTCATTCCTAGAAACAGAATTTCAAGCTTAATCCAACCTTTCATCTCAGTCTAGACGTATAAAAAGCTCTTGTTGTCTAGTGGCCATTTGGTTCAGTGACATAGAGCATGATTCATCGAAATGCCTATTGAACGTAAAAAAGTAAAGTTGAAGAATATGACAATGAGTAGCCAACATAGCGACATTTTATGAGTCATTGTGAGAAACAGGCGTCGTCAATGTTTTGTACCTTGCGCTAGCAACATAATGTGTAATGATCCGATATCTGTAAGGAATTGTAGAGGCGCTTCCATTAGGAAAACCTAACCTGTTTAAATGAAACCGAAGGTAGTAGAGTAGTAGAAGACAAGATAAGGTCTCGGGCAGAGTTCACGCAATTTCATACTCGCGATTCATAGCGAAAGGACAACTGCTATGAGTTCATTGCAAGATCGGCATGCAACGATATTGTTACAGTTGTCTTGTCGTGATGAATCGCTACGATGAAATCGCGAGAACTCTGCCCGGATTAACTTTGAGAGGGATTCTGAGCCATTACGGGCCCATTTTGTCTCAAATAGCAAATTAAACATCCTAGAATATCCTATTAGGTTGTGTAATAAGTTCTGTCCCATTTTTTCTTTTGATTTTTGTTAAACGAGAATTACCTTGTTTGGAATAAAGTGCAAATGCTTTTGAAACGACTTAGAGCTTTCAAATGCATATATCATTTTGCAAAACACCGTTCAAAATATTGTGGAAACATCGAAAGAAAAATGGGACAGAACTTATTACACAACCCAGTGGCGTACCGAGGGGGTTGGCGGGGGGGGGGGGGGCGCCCCCCCCCCCGAGAATGGGTCGCGAAATTTTTGAAAGTTACTTATATGGGTTATAAAAATGTGCAAGTGACTTGTTTATTTTTGTAAATAATTAAAATAATTTTTAAAAAATTTAAAAAATTCTAATTAGCCTTGTAAAAAAATTTTTTTCGGGGGCGTGGCTCACGCCACGCCCCCTTCCAGATATTAGGGGTCGCAAAAGTTTTGAGAAGCATCCCAAAAAATGTTTCGGAGTGCGTGGCTAACGCCACGCACCTTCTATAGAAAAATTTTTTTGTCGCGCCCCCCCCCCCCCCGAGCCGTACCCGAGTGGGTACGCCACTGACACAACCCAATAGATATCCTTTTATATCAGGCTAATCATTGGCGCTGACTCTGAATATGAAACTTGCCCTTTATTGTAATGCTTCCAAAAGTCATACAAAATATACCCTCACAGCCTTGTTCTCAATGGTCCTCGAAAATTAAGCTTGCGTGAAAATTGCTGATACATAGCTGAGACATAGCTGACCAGCTTTTTTGGAAATTTATTCTCAAACGTATTATACAATAGCGCTTAATGCTATTATAGAAGATTATTGATTTGCTTCGCACTGTAACTCTAAGTTGAAGCCAGCTCTACAGAATGTCACATAAGGTTGTGCAAAACATTTGGGAAGAAACTTATCAACGATCAATTGTGTATACATACTTTTTGAACACCATGTGAAGTAAGATTACCAGATTTTTACTTTTTCCCATATAGCTCTGCATTTTGAGCATCTCGGTGGACAACAAATGGACAGTAAACCTTCACGGACGTCATGCAGGAGGCAGCAAAGTCCTACCGCATTTGCTTCTGGAAGTGCCTGGGGAGCTTCAGATTCCTCGCGCCTCTAATCACTTTTCGCACCTCTGATTACTTTACAAGCTTGAGGATTGAGCGAGAATCTTTTTGAAGAGGATCTCATCCTGGATCAATTTGAGAATCTTGCAATTTCTTTCAATCTCAGCTATAATCGTTTTCGGCCTATTCAAATATTGGGTTCAGGGCATTTGCTCCAATCGTAACAGAAGGAAGTATTCTGTCGCAGAATAAAGGACGAGTGCAATCAGTCTTCAAAGTCCTTGCCTTCGATCGGAATAACTGAGAAAGATTCACATGCTTGAGATTCTGGTTTGAAGAATGAGTAGACCAATTCATACTTTCAAATCATTGGACGTTGAATGGCTATCTATGAGTAATTTTTGAATTTGTTATCTTATTTGCTATGAATTCAAAACATAAAAGCCATCTCAAAACTTGACACGCTTTAAGAAATCAGCGTTCAATTTGGCGTAGGTCATATCAAGTAATTAGAAGTGCGAAGAAGTAATTAGAGGCGCGAGGAAGTCTGAAGTTCCTTAGGCACTTCCATAAGCAGAAGCGGCGAGCCTTTGCTGCCTCCTGCCCGACCGCCAACCTTCACGAAGAAAATTGTTATTGAAATATTTTGTCAATAATCTTGCATAGAAGATCTTTGAGATTATGTAGTGGATTTTCGCTCTAAGCCATTAGTCGAGAGAAGATCGCTGACAGAAAAAGGAGGGAGGATGAGAGGTTGTGACCCCCCTCCAAGGCTAAATGTTCTACCAGCTTTGATCGAATCTCTGTAATTTATCAATAGTGTGACTCTCTTAGGTTATTTGCGGGGTGTTTTAGGTATTTTTAGTTAATTTTAATTCAGAAAATAGGACCAGAAAGCAGGGCATGAGAAAAGCTGGGTTCACTTCTTTCATTCAAAACAAGACCTAATATAGAGCAGATCATAGAAAAATTAGATGAGATCACTTTCAATAATAAGGCCTTCAGACTAGTACAGCTAAATAAAGACGAATTGTAATAGTTTTGAAAAGTCGGTTTCTAATCTTTGGTCTGATGAACTTGCCGGAAAATGAGTGCGGAGCATAGTGCAGCAAGACGAAGGCAAACAAAAGCAGTTCGATTAGAAAAGAAAAAAATGCAGTAACGTCTAAAACAAATAATTTAGGTAATCAAGCTGATGACATCAAAAATACCGCACGCAGGTCTTCAAAAAAAATTTGATATTTAGATTTTTGATCGTAAGAAGTTGGTGACAGCTGCAATCCTAACAATAGATGGATTACGAACTTTACTTGATATAGAGAAAGTTATATCAAATGCAAAATAGAGCAAAAAATTCACTCGAACAAATTTGAGTTGAACTAATACCTTTTAATTCTAGCATGTAGCGGAACGAGAGGAGGAGGAGGAGGGAATAATAAAAACAACTCTTACAACTTGAAAATTCAAGATAGCCTTATAAAAGGTTTTTTTGGGACTGGGCCCAAAAAGTTTTGAGAGGAATCCCGAAAAATTTTTCAAGGTGCGTTGTTGGCCCCTCCCCCGAATGGAAATCCTGGGCCGCCACTGGTTAGTAATGATGTAATATCAACAGAGAAAAGCCGGGAGTATTTGTGACGAATCAAAGGCACAATCATCCACACATCATGTTTTGCTGAATAATAAAAATCAATGACAAGATAAAAGTGATTGCTTTTACATCCCAGTCTTAATGATAAGCATATGGACCACATTTATTGAAATACGAGCTGGTGCAGACGTTCAAAACGAAGGAAGAAAGTGGGTAAACAAGATTCATGAGAATGCCAGATGGACGAGATAGCTCGTTGCAGGACGGAAAAAAAACAAAAGTCAATGGGAGCCTATGCGGCTGCAACGAGGGCTCGCATTCTCGGCATTATGTGAAGAAATGGGAATAGCTAAATTGAATTTCGAGTGAGAAAAATTGTTCGCTACCCTTGCATGGAGATCCAGATTCTGAAGAGGAAAGGATAAACCGGCAATCGATCACTGCGGCCAAATGGCCCTTACACAAAGACGCCATTAGCAATGCAAGTCACCTCTAAGGACAGCCACTATGACTCAGCTGTGTCAAGGCGACCCCGTGTTTTTATTTTTGAAACATTTTGCAGACAACAACAGACACAAACATTAGAACAGAAACCATTGATAAAGGGAGTGTATGTCTGGAATGTTTACTTGCAAGTCTAGCCATTAAAAACGTAAACAAAAACTGCGCTGGAAAATCTCATCAGGATTAAGACGCTGCACATTTCAACCCGATCTTTTGAACCAAGCGATTTCTTAGCAAATTTCTGAGGATTTTTCCGGGTTCATTGATTTCAATACACATGTGAGAACAATGCTGAAGCTGGCCTGGTTTCAAAAAGTTGAAACCTGACACATGCCCTCGCACACACATGATCTTGAACGAATCGAAAAACATTCCCAAATAATCGCTGCGATGAGCGGTGGGAATTGTTGGGTAAAATGTGAAGCAGTATTGGAAAGGATAAAGGGGAGTTCTAACTGCTTATTTAGTTGGAATAATTTAGGGCCGGGCATCCTTCACGCGTAATCGCGACGCCATTTGGCAATATTTCAACTGTCCATAACTCACTGTAAGGGGTTTTTTAATGCCGGAAGATAGGACAATTTACCAATCCACGTAGGTTATACACACTATGCATGTGCAGTTTGCTAGTGTTGTATCTGTAAACATTCTGGCAATTTGCCAAATTGCGTCGCGACTGAAATCGCGTGAAGTATGCCCAACCCTTTTCGCAAAATGTGTAGGATTTTAGCTGCCATTCGCAATTTTTTCGGTTTTAATTTTGAAGCTTGGAGCCCCGTCTTTGTATTCCTCCTATCGCCGTATCATTGTGTAATTGACTTCTATTTGGATAGATTCTTCTTAGTTGTCGGACAAGAATACTTTGCGATTTTGCGACATGTCTCAGCAACGGTTTTATTTTTTGCGAGGCAGGATGCTTGTCAACTGGGTAGTCTAGTCTAGCGAAGTTTCCCTAAATAAAGAAACCCATCTTTCAATGAAGCTAATAAATGCAGAGTTCTCTCTAAAAGGAACTAAAAATCTAGGACGCCTGCTTTCGCTTACTATCTAACATACATCTTTGCTCCTCCCTCCTTCCCTTCCTCTTCCCCTTATGGTCCGTTCTGTCCGTATAACAACCAAAGTTCAAATATGTCAGTTGGGGCCCCAAACGAGAGGGAACTTGAATTATAATTTTCTGAAGACTATGAATTCTTGTTGAAGTAGTCAAACTTTACTGTAGAGAAAGAGAAAATGACCCAGTGAGAAAACCGAGTTCGAGTATTTAGAAGTACAATGAAATAGCTGTAGATATGAAAAATTCCTTGACAATTAGATTTCATAGTATTGCTGCAATCTGATCATCAAACAATTCTTTAACCTGATAGAAGAAAACAATTTTTTACAATGACTATCGGCTACGCCCACATCAATAAATGCTATGCAGAATATCGAAAGTGCATTCTAAGTCGTGTACACGACCTGATCAGATAATTCTGCCGTATCTATGCTCAATTTTCGATCAACTCAGCTCCAGTCAGTTTAGACTGCGAATGACATCAACAGAGATCCACGTTTATATTGCTAAAATTGTTCTTCAATCTGTAATTCACCACGAACACAGAGACCTTGGTTTATGAGCAATGCATGTGACAGACATACGCTAAAGTATAAACGTCAGCTGGCACTGTCTACACCTCAGCACCAGGTTAAATTTCAAAGCTCCCCTATTTTTACTTTTCGAGATCTAGCGTTATCTTGGTACGCTCAAAACTTCGTAGTTCCTTTTTCTGATCGTACCAATTAGAAAAAAACTAAATTTGTATTTAGCCGCTTTGTTTTCACTTGCGACGCCGAGCGGCAGAGCTCGCCTAAAAAATGGGATTAGGAATCAACTTGAAGTGAGTTTCTGCATATCTAAACTATTTTCTTATTAGATTGGTAAGAAAGTTCTGAATTATTGTTGTAAATATTACGTAATTGGGGTGGAAGGGGCAATGGGGAGGACGCCAAGGTCCGATGCTCTAATCCCTTGTCTTTTGAATTTTTAATCCCATACAACCTGTACATGTATGCAAATGTATTCCAATAATTGCTAGCTTTCAAAAAATTTGGAAAATTTTCGGCCAACAGTTACGTCCAGAGCACTTTTCACAACGTTATTTCTAAGTTTAGGATTACTCCAAAAATTAAATTGTTCAGTTCATTATCGAGAGCAATAGTAAATGCACATTGTACATTTTTATGACACATGCAAAAAACAGAAAAATCTTCGCTAACTCCTCCCCTCCCCCCTTACCCTCTTGTGCCGGCCACATATTCAAGAGCATGGAGCGTTTGGGAAGTGCATTTTTATGTTCGGACAAGATCTTATGTTCATTTTTCTGCTTAACTATCTATGGAACTCACCGCAATGGCACCACTCTTGCTTGTACCTAGAGGTATAGATGTTTTTATCACTACTCATGTCGCTAAGCTTTGACAAATATTTAAGAACTTTTTTGCCAACCTTTTGCGTTGAATAATTTTTCCCCCATATCACTTATTCTAATGATCTCCAGCTCACGTGTCACACACATCAACGAGGATTCCTGCGCACCAAAACAGGTAAATCATTTTTTATTGAATAGCTAAGCTAATGTTTGATTCATCTTCTAACGCAAATTGCTCACGCATTAATTCACGATTATTGTTTTCAATGTAAAGTTTTTTTGCTAATGTCGTTGGCATTACCAGAAATTTCTTACGACAAGTGGTGGAGTGGAAATGTTTATTTCGTTGCGATAGAAAGGGCGATTTTGGCATGTTTCCAATTCCTCAGCGAGCGCATAAATATAAAGAATCTTAGCTCATTTCAAAAATCTTCCAGTAGCGGGAAAGCGAAGGTGGTCCCGAAGCGCGCGAATGCAATCTAGCAGCTTTAATTACTGGTTCACTAGTCTAAAATTGCAAAGAGAGGGAGCGTGCGACAGATGCGCACTCAGAAGTTCTCTTTGCAAATTGATTTCTGAAAAATTTGAAAAATTATTTCAGCATTTTATAACTTATGTAGAGTACATTCATAATTTGAATGACTATTTATTCTTTTACAGAGTATCCACTTGGATCCAAATGAAGAAATCAAACTCAACGTTGGTGGAACAATTTTTACAGCGAAAGTGCTTGACCTATTGCGTATACCAGGGACATTTTTGGAAAGAATGGTGGACAAAATGTGGAAAGCGAAAAGTAATATGCATAGTTTCGCTTTCAAAGTTTCAAATCAATTTTTTAGACTCCGAAACCGTTTTTATCGATAGGGATCCCAGATACTTTGGATTGTTACTGGAATTTCTAACAACGAACAAAATAAACCTTCCTCGTTCCGAGGTTGAACTGGCTGCTATTGTCCAGGAAGCTGAGGTGAGCCAAAACATGGTAGTAGGTTGTAAAATGATATCTAAGCTCTTACAGAACTCTATAAATCGGCAATAGAACATGTAATTCGAGAAAAGGTGGTAAAAAAGATTAATTTTATTTTGATTGATAATTTTGATAATTTTTTTTAATAATTCGAATACTTCTTTTGATTCGATGATGATTTTGAAGTTGAAGCAATCACGATGTTCACAATCAAGAGTTTTTGGCTACAGTTCTTCCAGATGGACGAGTTGATAGCGAAAATTATACATGAAGACCGTCGTTGTTTCGGCAAAGGACCTCCTTTCTTTCCCAAAGACAGGTAACTCTATGTTTTTTCATTTCATTGCAATATTAATTTGTACATTTTAGGGTAGTATGGAAAACTCGCAATTTCTGGCGCACATTAACCCAACATGGTTGGAATTTTGACGGTACTCGCAAAGCTATTCCATTGTGCTTCACATATTTCACTTGTGAGTTTGCGGTCAACGCAATACACTCCTTAATTTATCTACGACTGATTTAGTGTTTTCTCCAAATGAAACATGCTATATGTGTGGCGTTGAAACACAGAACCTACATGGACTTTATAAGTCGTTATTTGATTTTCCAAGAGATTTCAGCTATACTACTGGCGAAGTCGAGAAGGTAAGCAGTGGATACGTTCCCTGGCAGTTGTTAGCAAAATGCGTTGAGTTTCAGATCTACGGTGATTGCTGTTGCTGTGACGTTCGCTTTGGAAAATCCTCATTTATTTTCCACATTCCGACAAAGATGCTGCGCTTACTTGACTGAGCCGTACTAATTTACGCAAATAAAGCTTAAAGATTTCTGCATGTAATGCCATGCAATAGCAAGTCCGTGCAAAAGTATGGAGCGCTTCTTTGCGACAGCCGCAGTGCGAATGCATGAAGTATTCTGCCGGACAGAGCAAAGCAAACTCTAAAAGAGAACTATAACAAGCAAAAAGATTTTGAAAGCCTCACTTGCTACCTTCTGGAAGACAAATATTAGGCAGTTTCATAAGTTCGCGGAGTTTTCATGAATAAAGAGATTGGCAAGATTTTAACAACATTTAGTCATCGTTTTTTGTTCTTGTTGCGCACAACCTTCTGCCACCATGCTGTCAAATTCAGTTCCGTTTTTCCAATACTTAGCGCGTCTGGTCCCAAAAAGTCGTGCAATCTGCGCCTGGGATCGTCTTTAGAATAAATACTCTTTGGGATCAAAACAGACTGTTAATATGATTTGTGATAAACTGGGACAGCTGATAATTCGCGAGCGAAATCTCAGGAGCACATTGGGTACAAATGTACCTCAGGGTCAATTTCACGGAACAGCTAGGACGACGGTTACCGTAGGTAACCATGTTTTGTTGCGCAGATTTGCTTTGATCTTTGACCTTTGTTTCAGATTCTGCTCGCGGCTCCTCTCTCTCTTCCCCTTTTATGCCTTGCTGCGAGGTCAAATCGGCCTCTTCCTTTCCCGCCATCAAATGTTATAGATCGGTGATCCTTTCCATCCAACATAGAGCCTATCTTGTAGCCGTAAGCCATTAGTACCAATAGAGATGAAAAGGGCTTGGACGAAAAGATTTGCAAAAGAAAAAAAAGAAAAATTGTCACCTTCTTTCAACATATTTTCTTAGGCATCCAAGTCTTAAATTATGGAGTTTTTGATACTGAACACTAAGCGATTTTGCAAAGTAAAAAGGAGGCGCTACTTTTACGTTTACAGAAATGGGCGAAGTTTGGCGATTGCTCTCTTTGATGGAAAAACCATGATCCACAGAGTGAACGCAGCGACTACTCGTGTGTCGAGGTCGATTTCTCAACTTAGATAATCTCAGGAAATATGGTCGAGTGTGCGTAACGAGACAATTTTCACCACATGCTGTTGCTGAATTTTCGAATGTGTGTGAAGGAAAGATGTTTGATCTGAAAAAGTTTTCTGGAACAAGGCCCGGTAAACCGCTCATTACTTTTGCATCAACCTAATAATTCAAAAGTGACAGACTCTGGAGTAGCGAAACTATTCAACAGTACATATTCTACGCAGGTTAGAAAAACTGGTAAACTGGTTAACAGTTACTCGTACTGATTACTTAAAGGCAGTGGATCGGCAAAATTCAGCAACACAAGATTTTGACGCGCTAGGTTGCTCATCACCCAAGTATGAAAACAGTACAATCCCGGTTGCATAACATGCTTTCACCGCCGAGAAGACTGCTCTCAAACTTACACGCATACGCGCACTCACGAGTTGACAAGCTCTTCTCACCGTTGGAGGCTGCCCGCCGCAATGCTATAATCACTGGGTTCTGTAACGATCTGGCGTCTTCAGCCGTACTGCACTCGTCCAATTTCAAAGCAAAGGGCATTGAAAAACGCTCGTTTTTGCCATTTTTAAGCTCTCTCAAGCTCATTTTCGGGACTAGCGCATTGGAAAACCCTAGGTAAGCGAGAATTTCTCTAAATTAGGATTTGCCGAGCCATTGCCTTTAAGCTTATTCATGATCATAGGTACGATAGGGGGAGCCAGGCTCCCCCAGGTGAAGGGGGTCTCGGCTGTTTCCGACCTTCCAGGGTGAAGGGGGTATGTGAGACTGGGGGGGGGGGGGGGGAGGAAGAGAGAAAAGGTAAAAAAGCGTGGTATAAAGAGCTCTAATTTGTACCTTATTTAAGTACAAATTAAAAATTTTTTTTAGAATTTAAAAAATAATAAATCAAAAAAATTGACTTTATGAAGATCTGAGCTCCTATTTCATTGCATCAACAAAAAACGAAAGCAATAAGGTTCACCCCAAAAGATATACAAGTTAGGAACAACTTACAATTCCTGCACGTCATCATCAAAAATATCACTATCGCTGACGTCAGAGACAACAAGTTCGCAGCCTGAAAGATCTTCTTCTTCCTTCGTAGACCATCGGAGTAGAAGAAAAATTGCGTCAAAAAGCGTTCCGAATCGAAAATGGATTTGAAAGGTTCTTATTCTTCTAAGCGCTTTTGTGTTTTTTTTCCTGGCGCTCTGGTAGCACCAGGAAAGTCAGCAGGTAGGTGACCAGTTTCTTCATGCCATCTTTTAGGATATTTTAAAAAATCATACGATGACAGCCTGTCTGGACCACTTATAGCAATCCTTTAAAGGAAGTTTTTAGATAACAATATGTTTAGTAGAAGGTTGACAAATCTTGAGTAATTGCTTAGATGCTCCACCGTTGTACGAGTTCTGCGTTGCGTTCTGATAACAGAGGTAGATAGAAAATTCCCTTTCCACCTCTGCCGTGCTAGTCGGAATGTGAACTAGCTTTGCTAGTAAGTCCATCAGATTTTTGATAACGATGGCATAACTCTTAATACAAAACATTTTTTTACTTAAAAATGCAACATTTTAGATTCCTCGTCAATGTCAATAACGATGGTCATCAACAGCACACTTTTCACTAAAAAAACATAAACATACGACAACGATTAGCACGCTGTGCTGACAATAATGGGATAACTGTCAATCAGCGCATTTTTTACCAGAAAAAACTTAAACATACAACGATAAGCACGCTTAAATAGACGCGTTCGGTTACGTTCCTGCGAAGCGGATATTCGGATCGGATCGGGCATGGAGCCAGACCTCCTTCGACAGCAACAAGAAGAGCAGGCACCAGTGCCGAATGAACAGCAGGAGCAGCAGCGCGATCAACAGCACCACCGCCCGGAACAGCAAGCCGAGCCACCGTGGCAAAGGCTCTAGATTTCCCCATTTCGAGTGGGAGGCTTTGAACTTAATCAGGGCGGCATTAATTTTGGTGACCCGGCGCCCTCTGGCAGGGGCCGCTGGGACGACTGGAACAGGATGGTCTCCAAAGGAACCCGTGGAGAAGGAGAGAGCTGTCGGCTCTAGATTTTTTTCTTGCAATGTTAATAAAGCGTTTTTTCCTTTTTTGTCCACTTTGATGCATAAAGATTCTTTTTGTGTGCACTAAAATACCTCTTCTTTGTTTTTGGAAGTTAGTCATCTCGTATCCCTTAACCAAGGTTCTTTGTGATAATCTCTCAGGTCGCTATCATAACCTCCTCTTCTCGGCATGAAGTGACCTTCGCAAATCATTCTGAATTAGTCTTCTCACGAGCGTTTGTTAAGAGCTAAAACTGAGCCTAGGTTTCTCTATATCCTTTTTGCATGAAGTTTCAAACTGGAACCCAGGCTGGGGTCACGTGGAAGATACTAAAGAATAACGCTCTTTTTCTCTCTAGCTGACACCTGTGACCAGATCGAAAGCGAAACAAAAAGCCTAATCTCCATATAGTACTCCTGAGCGAGTCAGGAAGAAGATTCTGCATCAACAGCTACGAGAACTCAAGGTACAGCTTAAACAAGAGTACCTAAGCCTAAGTCCCTTTGAATTGCAGCAAAGATGGCTCAAAACGAGCAAGACGGATTGGAGCTCAGCAAAATGAACAACGGAACCAAGAACCAGCAAGCGCAGGGTCAACAACATCAGCAGCGTCCGCGGGAACGTCCCCACGAGCCGGACAATCCTATTTGCCGATCATACAAAATTCTTAATGACCGGGTTGAGAAATTCTCCGGTGTTGGAGATAGAACTTTTGAGAAGTTCCTCAAGGAATATGTGGATGCAATAGGAGGTTTGATATTTCATATATTAACGCTAAAAGCCTGCTGCCCATGTTCCTCTCGGACTCCGCAAAAATTAAATATAACTCCATAGAGGATGCTAACACCATAGAGTGGGAAGATTTAGTCCTCCAGCTGGCAAAGAAATGTAAGAATGAAGCAGTCCTTAGTAATATTCGAGATGAACTACATGGTCTCACCTAGGGAAAAGATTCGGTCGGAGAGTTTGCGCGTAGGGTCCTGGCGAAAGCCAAGGTAGTCTATCAGGGACAAGACAAGAAACTGCTATCGCAAATCACCATTGATGTCTTCATCAAGGGCTTACGAACCGATATAAGGAAGACCATTCGCAGCTTCCGATATCTTTCAACATTTTTTACTATTAGCTTGCTCCACCCAGCTCCACCAATGTATTGGCTTTTATCGGTCACCGGAGGAAGTGCTTTTTAGAGCCGGGAAGCAAAGAAGCCCTAACATGCTTTATACCATTCGAAAGCTGAGATCATGGAGAATCGGCATGGATCGTCGCCTTTTTTCTTGGTCTTCTGTCTCGCGAGATATGAGGGATTTTATGTACTTCAAAAATTAACTGATTTTGTGTCCTCACTTTCCGTCGCAATATACCCAAAAGAATTGTAGCTTTAATACAAAGAAGTGTTGATTATACTACTAAAATAAGATAGATTAATTTTCATGGAACTGTAACGCTCAAGGACGTATTAGTGAATGCTCGGAAAGAGTTTGTGCTTCTGTAGATGCCTTTTTAACAGATAAATAATATGAATAAACATAAATACCGTTTCTTTTGTAAATTTATGAGTGTACTGCTGTTTGAGGTACTCTGCAAAACCTTTCAATAACGATTTTTATTTTATATTCTCAGAGTACAATACCAATCTCAGCCCAGGTAAAGGGGTCATCCGCAGTTTGGCCTCAAAGTGAAGGGGGTAAGATCCATCACTCCCCCTACCGCAACTATGCTCATGATATGATACAAGAACTCTACACATTCCTGGGGATGACACGGTTTTTCCAGATCGTATCGCCAGCTACTACCATGAATACCAGAACCTGGATAATTGATGAGAAACTCAAGAGTAGTTCATGCACTCAAGCTTGAGCTATCTAGGTGCTTATTTCTTCGGATTGCTCCGCCCCCA